GCAGTGGTGCAAGGAAAACCCCGATGCTGTCGAATACTACGAGCCCACCGGCTATCGTAGAATTCCGCTCACCACCTGCGATGGAGGCCAAGAATTCGACAAGCAGGCCAACGTCCACGCCTGTGCCGGTAAGGAAGAGGAGTTTGAGAGGCGGCGCAGAACGTCTGGCATTGCAATCTTCTTTGCGGTTGTCATCCCCATCGGACTCGCAGGAGCCATTGGCTGGTGGGTATACCAGAACTGGAACGACAAGTTTGGTCAGATCCGGCTGGGCGAGTCGCCGAACCTGGACAACGACGCGCCGTGGATCAAGTACCCGGTCATTGCCCTGTCGGCGGTGGTTGCCGTCGCGGCGGCCCTGCCGCTCGTCGCCTCGGCGCTGTGGAGGCGCGCCACCTCTGCTTACGAGAGTGTGAGCGGTGGAAGCAGGGGCAGCTGGCTCAACGGGCGGGGCAACCGCAGGTTCACCACGAGGGACAGTTTCGCGCGGGGCAGAGGAGATTACGATATTGTCGACGACGACGAAGGCGAGCTCCTTGGTGACGATAGTGACGAGGACGTATGAATGGGTTTCTTATGATTGGGGGAAGGGAGAGCAATGGGCTGCTCGCGGAAGCCTCTTTTACTAAGAAGTAAACGCGGCACCTAAGCGTAACTGTGACACTATTGTTTACTGTTGGATTTTGGAGTGGATGGGGCTATCAAGTAGGGCAGGGAACTAGGCAAAGGCTGAAAGAGAACATTGGTAGACCGAAATCTTTCCTTAGAATGTGTATTTTCTAGGCATGGCGTTGATTTTCAAGCCCGTTTTGGTTCTCACTTTGACGATTGACATGCGTTTGCTAGAGTCATGCGCATCGTGACCTTCAAACAATGTTTACATACGGGGTATACGCACTAGCTATGGAGTATGAAAGTGGACGTTGTTCTGAATCTACTTTGACCTTGACAGCGGGCAGACAGCGACGCGGAAGTGCCGAAATGATCGGCAACCGACTCGTGCGAGCTCCAAGATGGGCTACGGAAGCCTTCAGATTGTTTGTCTACGATACCTAGGCGAAGGGCGCACAAGACTGGGAGCCCGGAAGTCGGAAAGAGCGGATATTTCCGGCTGCCCCGGGCCGGGGGGGACTCGAGCCCGTCAACGGTCAAGGACAGGAACCGAGAGCTTGCCCCCTTTTTTCTGGTGCCTGGTGCCAAAACCTCTCTCTGCTCTATTCGTAGAGGCCAGGGGCCTTGCGTGGTGGGGATCGTGAGTCGTGACCGAGTCGTGGGCTGGACTTGCGGAGTAATAAGATGAAAGTTGTGTCTTTTTGGCGGTCTGGGTCTGGTTTGCTTAGGGTTCTATGTGATCTATCTCGAAAGCGAGATGTTCGACGGGGTATTACCCTTAGGTATCCGTTGAAGTCTAGAGCAACTGAAGCTTACGGGGTACATACTACGTAAAGCACAGAGTCGAAAGAAAAGGGGGGGGGGGGGGGGGGGGGGGGGGTTTTTCTATGGGGGGGGGGGGGGGTTTTTGCGGAAGAAAAGAAAGGGAGAAAGTTTTTGGGTTTTTTGATTTTTCTGTGGGGGCCCCATTTTTTGAGAGGGATACCCCCGTTTCTAAACAGGTATCTTTATAAATCTCGGCTGCGGGGGGGGGGGGGGGGGGTGTGGATGGTGATCTCTCATGGGCTGGACTAGGTGATTTGCATACGGAAAGAAAGAGGTCAAGCTTTTGGGATCTTTGACATTGATCTGCTAGGCCACAATTTTGACAGGTAGAACTCCCTGTTCATCAAGTCATCTTGCTACAATTCTCGCGGCCATGTGGGAAGATGTAGCACGGTCAAACGAACAAGACCGTAGTGGAAGGAGATGAGCAAAACATATACTCAAAAGGGGTTCCAGTCCAGGTCAAGTCTGAAAACTTCATCTCTTGACTCCTTCTCCCGGTACCATTTCGACTTGGCGCTGAGAGTCGATGGCTCTGATGGGAAATTCGGAAGATTTTGGTGAGATTAGACAGTCTTCACTATGCCAGCTTGGGGAAATAGATCTGCATAATGTTTCCTCGGGTGGGTTGAATGGGTTGTCAAGGTTCACCAGACACGTTGATCGCTCGCAGCTTGCACGTTGCACGCATTGTGCAGAGACCGGGATGTTGCGTTGTTGGCCATTGACCAACTTGCCAGCATTTTGCTTCTTTGGCGAGTCTTAGGCCTCCCGGGGGTGAATACGAGAGGGTGGTGGGGATCGCGAGTCCCCGCCCGAAAAGAGTCTGGTTCAGCTCGGCATTTTCTCTGGGGGGGATGAGGCGGAGATGGGCGAGTGGGAGGGAATTCAGCGCAGAAGGGGGCCAAGGCTTGAGAGTTGAGCAGAAGCTGGCCAAGCTGGAAAGCAAAAGCGAAAAAAAGGGGTTGCGGGAAATGGGATCCACAACTGACGACGGGGTGCTTTTTTGTGCAGTGATTTGCCCTTCACAATTAAGCGTGATTAAACATTTTAGACTTGTGCAGGAGTGCTACCTTACCTGACCACGTGCTGACGTAGGTACAATACCGTCGTTACTTGAGGCTTGCCCACGGTCTGTCAGATTGTTCATGTTCCTTGGCCGTTGCGGCAAAAGGCTCTTCTTTATTTTCAGATTTTGGCAGTTTCCGTTTATATCAGAAGGAACAGAAGGAGGCTGCGCACGTGCCTGAGGACCGTCCAAGTCATTGAGGCGCTCGCTCGCGTGCGGTGGAGAGTGTTTGTGCGCTGGCTGAGCTTCTAGATGGCGTTTCTGGGCTTGAAAAGATTGTAGATTTGTCTCAACGGCCATCGACGATTCGACATAGATATCCGCAGTGTATAAAACGCAATGTGCACTTTGTAGCCTCGTTGAAGATCCCGCATCCCGAGATGCGCTCCCAAGTCTGTGTTGCCGTACGGATGCAGGTGGAGAGAACCGTTCGATGATAACAAGCCCCCCGGCCGTTGGAGATCCACCCCGCATAGCAAGAAACTTGGAACAACCAAAGATAGACTGCGGCAGACAGAAAGCAGTTGTTCGTAGATTAGTTGCGAGGTGAACGGTGTGTTTCGACTACCTTTCTCTGGTGAGGCGTTTTTTAGTGCTTCAGATAGTCTAGTGACTTCAGAGTCTAGTTCGAGTCTCGCGCGCCAGTCTACAGTATCTGGGTGGTCGGTGATCCAGGTCGCCTAAAAAGTAGACCGTCGGGTTATTTTCTGCCTCCGGACAGGCCTTGCATCTGGCAGATGCAGGTACGAATCATCGGGCCAAACTATGCCTGATTGGAGAAGTATGCACACCTCAAGGCTCACTTGCATACCACCTCGAGCATCTCGTGACCGCTATCTCTCTCGGTGACGCGCCGTCGATTTTCTCTAGCAGACCATAAGATTGCTTCTCCGAGAAGCTGTGATTTCAAGAAACGAAGGGTGCAGATGATCCATCAAGAGACATCAAATTTGCCGCCGAAGCGCGCCGGGCGATCAGCCACGAACACGAGGTCCAGAATCCATGGGATGGCGGGGTGCATTAACATCCGCAAGAAGTCGGGATTGGCTGAAAGCCTGATGTATGCGTACGTTGTATTCCGTAGTGGATGGTTCATCGGAATTGTCGCGCTTGGAGATAGAAGAAGACGATGGATTGACCAAGCCAGACGAAACGGCGTTCTCGGCCACTCGAAGAGTCGAATCTCATTTCATTCTTCTTTCCTAATTCGTACGGATCATCATCATCGCAATCAGCGTAGGGCGGAAGAGTTGTACGGAAGTCAGGAGGCCCGGGCGACGGTTTGTGGTTTCTTCGACCGCTCATGCAGGAGCGGCGGGAACCCTTGTTGGAAGGACCCCCCTTCTTGACGATACGAAGATGAACTGTCATCAAGATTATTAGCCTGATACCAATGAGAGGGCAAGCGACTCGAGACTTAGCATTGACCTTGCTGCTCGAATGGACAGCGCCAGGTCTGAGGTCACCGGTGCAAGGAAACAACGGGCGGCGCGACGGTGAGGTGTACAAACTAGTGTAAGTACCGTGTGACTGACGGTGAGGTGTGTTCCTGGATTACTGGATGGACCGGGGGCTAGCGTAAACAGTAAACAAGCTTGGCATGGGCGCAAAAAAAGAAGGTTCCCTGGCTGGGAAAGGAGGAGCCTGGAGAGTCAAGACTCGCGAGTGGGAGGTTCATCTCATTTTCTGGGTCTGCTGCTTGGGAAGTGTCCAATGTCGCTTAGCTAATTTCCCGGACGCACCACTCGCTCCTCCCCCCTTCTCAAGTTGCTCCTCCAGCTGGGAGGCAACTGCAGCTTACAAGGTCCAACTCGCTCCTTCCCCCCCGCCGCACCCGCCGATCCCTCCCCAATCAGCCATCTCAGTGGACTTTGCACCTCGGGTACCTTGCAGCTCCGCCTCTGTTAGCTTCTACAATGCAGTACGTACACAGTAACTTACCTTACGGTCTGCATCGTTCCTGCACATCCAAAACCCGGTTTATACTATTGTGTGAGTGTATGTACTCCGTACGGAGTAGGTGGGAAGGTGAGAAAGAGAGACATTATGGTGTGGTATTCACCTCGTGCTCACCGTCGAACCGTTCCTTCTTCATTGCTTCTTCTGGTCCTCCGCCACTGGTTGATGCAAGACTCAAGAGAGCCCAGCCCAGGCTGGATTCTTTCTCGAACCGCGCACTCTCAGTCACTAATAAACGTCGAGCCCAATTTCACTACACCATGTCTCTCAATCCCCTCCAAGCCCAGACTCTCTCTCAGTCTCTCTGGCACTTCCAGGCTCCGTCGACGGTGGATTCGGTTGGACCGTTGGCCAAGTCCCCTTGACCACGCTTTTACTCGCTCATTTGCTGTCGTGTCCGCCTCTGGACTGGATCTGCTTGGCCTTCCCGCCTTGCGGTCTTCCAAGTGCCCAAAACGACAACCCCCCAACTATGCTTAACCGGGATGGCCATTTCGCCTCCCTTTTCCTTGCGCTGTCAGTCTGACAGTCATTCATGACGAACCGTGGCCAAGGTGCTTCTGGTCATCTCATTGACTCGACTACAAGCCCAGTCAAGATTGCCAACCCGTATCCTTTCTTCAACCCCCTGACCGAAGCCCTCTCTCCGGATGGCAGCGTCTCCGTTGTGATCCTCAACCGACAGAGTCTCTTTGCTTTTCCCGAATCCCATAGTCCCGATAATCCCCAGACACTCCACCAGAAGTCTGGGACTCTCTGAAGCTGAGATTCGTTTCTGGCTCCTACACAGTGGTACCTCTCCACCTCCTTGCCCCTCAGCTTTTCTGTTGTGACTTGCTGCCGAGGACAGGGGCTTGTTTGCTGTCGAGTTGCTGCTTGTATCCGTGAGGAACACAAGAAACCCCTCAGTTTGAGTTGAGGTAGTGTTGCTCTTACACATTGCCCAATGCTTCTTTATCCCGCAGCCATCAACAGTCCGTGGTCACCGACCAACGGCTCCCCGACTTTCATAGTAAACATAGTGTCACCAGCATCATGGAATACACAAGACGAATACACACACAGAGTCCCTCCAGTCCCCCCTCCTCCTATGCCAAACTGCCAAACTAATGGCCCGATGCCATCCAACGTAAGGTCATTGGACGCTAGCCTGCCCGCACTTTGGCCCATTCATCCATCTGGAAGTGGGCACACACACACACACACACCGTTCGCGCACACACCCCGGCCCAGGGCCCCCAGGGACATGCTAGACTTCTCATGGTCGTACCCATGAAAGTACGGATACTAGCCTTCTACCTAATCTAACCACCATCACAATAATAACATCCCGGTCCCGCCAGTTTTCTTTCCTCCTCTTTCTCTTTCCCTTTTCCTTTCCTTACGAAAACACCGTCAAATGAGTTGATGCCGTCAACGTAGTTTCGTCGTCCCTTTCGTCTCTACACGCGCAAACCTTCACTACCGCTTCACTCTTTTAGCGGGCACTCGCTTCCCAAAGTCGAATAATACTCAATTCCCCTACTCAAGAAAAAAAAGGCAACTTAATTCACCATGAAGGGCTCCATCCTCGCAGTCGCTGCCGCGACCGTCACCGGTGTCACCGCCGCTGCTCACCGTCACGCTCACGCCGACCTCTTCAAGAGGGGCGCTGACCAGGCCTCCGTCTGTGTTCCCGGCTGCACCACCATCTACACCACCATCTACGGCGAGCCTACGCGTATGTATCTCTCTTACTTTCACCCCCATTTACTATCCGAAACCATTCTTGCTCTATAGCCCTATAGAGTCTTGGAATGCGGAGGCGGATAAAGCTGGTATCGATCTTTTGTGCTGACTTGATGATCAACAGTGGTTCCTAACCCTCCCAGCAAGCCCAGCAGCAAGTCTGTCGCCAGCGCCCTTCCCTCGGCGCCTGCGACCACCAAGGCCGCGGAGAAGCCCACGTCCACCGCGAAGCCCGTGGTGCCCGTCCCGACTCCGGTCCCTGAGCTCTGCCCTACCCCGGGTACCTACACCTTCCCGGCCACGACCATCACCGTGAACCAGACCACCACCGTCTGCGCTCCTGAGACCACCAAGGTCCCTGCCGGTGTTCACACTATCGGTGGTGTCACCACCGTTGTTGTCGAGGCCACCACCGTTGTCTGCCCGTACGCCACCGAGAAGACCAAGAGTGGTGTTGTCACCAGCGTCATCGAGACCACCACCTACGTCTGCCCTACCCCTGGCACTTACACCATCGCTCCCACCACCACGACCGTGACCGCCCCGACCACCTGCGTCTACCCCGTCGTCACCGAGATTGTCCCCGGTACCTACGTTCGCCCTCCCGTCGTGACCACCATCACCGAGACCAGCGTCGTCGTTGTCTGCCCCTTCACCAGCCAGAACCCTGTGCCCACCAGCAGCTCCGTCCCCGTCGTCGTCCCTGCTCCCGCGCCCACCACTGAGGCCCCCAAGCCTGCGCCTACCACCGAGGCTGCCAAGCCCACCACTCAGGCTCCCGCTCCCGTTCCCACGACCTCCGCTGTCGCTACCCCCGAGCCTGTTCCCACCACGGCCAAGACTTCCTCTGCTGCCGCTCCTTCCTCCTCTGCCCCCGCCACCGGCGGTGGCCTCGGAGGCAACAACGGCGACCACTGGGCCATCACCTACACTCCCTTCTCTGAGGATGCCTCTGGATCCTGCAAGACCGCCGACCAGGTCGATGCCGACATCTCCACCATCAAGAACTCCGGCTTCCGCACCGTCCGTGTCTACTCCACCGACTGCAGCACCCTCGAGAACGTCGGCGCCGCCTGCAAGAAGTACGGCCTCCAGATGATCATTGGTATCTTCGTCAAGGAGTCTTGCGACCCCAACTCCGCCGACATCAAGAACCAGGTTGACGCCATCACCGCCTGGAAGCAGTGGGGCATGGTCGAGCTCGTCGTCATTGGTAACGAGTGCATCTTCCAGGGCCGCTGCTCCGCCAGCTCCCTGAAGCAGCTCATCGTCTCCACCAAGGCCGCTATCACCGCTGCTGGCTACTCTGGTCCCTACACCACCGCCGAGACCGTCGGCGTCTGGCAGCAGTCTGATGTCATCTCCGAGATCTGCGACGTTATCGACGTCGTCGGAGGTCAGATCCACCCCTACTTCAACGCCGAGACCGCCGCCACCGACGCCGGTACCTTTGTCAAGGGCCAGATTGAGCTCCTCGAGAGCTCCCAGATCTGCGGCACCAAGCCTGCCTACAACCTCGAGTGCGGATGGCCCTCCGGCGGTAACTGCAACGGCAAGGCCTGCCCCGGTACCTCTGAGCAGGCCACCGCCATCGCCTCCATCAAGGAGCTCGCTGGTGGAAAGACCGTCTTCTTCTCTTTCCACAACGACGAGTGGAAGGACCCCGGCACCTGCGGTTGCGAGCGCACCTGGGGCTGCGGTGACCTCTTCTCCGCTTAAAGAGGAATAGCATCACGAGACCAGGAAACAAGAAAGGGAAATGGTGAACAACAAATGGATAGCCCCCCCAATTATTTTCTAATTCAACGTTCGGCATTTGAACATACAAAAGAGATTAATCCCTCTTCCTTCCGACGTTGCTTTGAGGTGTACCCATGAATCCAGATAAAAAGACAAAGAAAAACCCCCTTCTTTTCCACCGAAGACGATTTGCAACGTTTCCCTTTCAAGTGTACAATGACAATTGGATACCCCAGACAGTAGTGGACTTGGAGTGATCCTTCCTCCTTGCGGTTTCGAAATCTACATCTATATATATTGCCCTTAGCTTAATTATCTGTGTATATATATGTATATGTAAGCTCTGTTTCGATTCGCGTATGGGAGGACAGGCCAAGTCTCCTAACACGTGTTTGTATAAATCAAATACCTTGATATATCTCGGAAGCGCCATCGTTAATGTAGTGCCCAAGACTGGACTTGCACTCGCCCAAACACAAATTCACGCCTAGGCGTCATTCGTATCTCCATGGTCTCCCGCAACTGATTTAGAATCCAATACACAAAGTTCACAATTGCACCTCTCCATCACACACAACTCCATCTCCCTGCCTTGCTTTGAGGGGAGTGTCAACTATCAGTACCAAATGTTCAAAGAGCAAAAGGCAAAAGAGAAATAGACAAAAGAGCAAAGATACCATCTCTAACATGACGTTCAGTTGAACCCCCGCTCCCAATCTTGATCTCATCTTCTCTCGTCCGAACTGTTGGTCCGTGAAGTGGAACTCTAGCTGGGACGTTTCGCGTGCCTCACGTGCCCACATAACGTCCAAGAAGGAGAAATGAGATGAGGGGAAGAAAGGAAGACAAAAAAAACACACAAGCATAAAGAGCCATAACGCACATACGAATGAGAGCAAGGTCATGAGAAGTGGTATTTCGTCAACGTCTTTATCGGGATATCTTCCGGCCCTCCCCGTCGCCTTCCCCATGGATTAATCCTAAATCCCCTCTTCCCCTCCCTGGCCTTTTCATGGAACCCATCTTCTAGTCAACAGACCGAGCCATAAAAACACTAACTCCCCAGAGAATGAAGCCAAAATGCTGAAAGATCCCAGGCACCGAGGTTTTGATCCATCATGTTGAGAAAAGATGTAATGTGTATCCGCGTGTCCCGCCCTGCCAAAAAGTAATGCAACCAGAAAACCAATGTCGGTTTCTACGCACCCAAGTAAAATACTGACACGTCCCTAGTAAGGATATCGCGGACAAGAAGAAGAACCGAGAAAGCCAGCAGACACCAACCGATGCCTTGCGTCCTTTACCTTCCCCACCGTCCCTCCGTAAAGTCGTTAAGAAACCCTCCATGCAGTATGAACAGTGAATACGCTGTGCTGAATGTCAAAATATGAAGAAAGGAAATGAAGATGATGCTTGTAGAAGTATCGGACCCTGGAAATGTTTTCCTAACCGTCTTCTCCCAAGGCCAGCGCACCAAGGCACGGGCACTGTCTATAGGTCGAACACACACACACACACACACACACACACACACATATCAAGTGTGAGCAAGTCGAAGGTTCGAAAGCCAAGGTAGAGCTCGCGGGTCAACGCCAGATCGACCAAGTTTGCCATGACACGCCGGCCGAAACAACGCAAAACGCCGACGGCTAGGAGATTAATGCATCCCTGACGCAGCCAACGTTGATAGATGTAGCTGACGACAACGGGGGTATCATGCCCTTTCAGAAAGGCTCCAAGTCATCAAAGAGGTCGTATCCCCTTTCCCGCTGAGCTGGCAGTTTCGTCTGAACCATATCTGCATCAGATAGTATTCCGCTCTGGCTGGGCCTCCACCAAGGATCCATGGCTGCCGCTTGATGTGCGTACTCAAAATCGGAACTAGACGCTAAGTCGCAACGCTCCAGTTGAACCAGCCCTCCACGAGTACGATCCATGCAGAGAATATTGAGGTCCTGGCCGTCGTTGGTGAACTCGACACCTCCAATCTCCCCAAAGATATCAAATGTCTGCTTGTGGGCTAGACTTTGAATGTCGATGATGTTGACATAGTCGGCTTCCTCGGCTGCTACGAGAACTTGAGGGCCGCTGCCGGTGGGAGAGAACCTCAAGCTGCGAACACCTGCCATCTCGGAGCGAATCGTGGTGAGTGGTTTGCTGGTACCGTCTGAGTTGGTCCACATTCGAGCGTCCCAGAGTTTCACACTCATGTCCTGGAAACCGGTTGCAACGGTCCAGCCATTGTCTGACCAGTCGCACGCGAACCCAAAGTCACGGTGGCCTCCCAACTCTTGCAATATTTCACCGGTATCCGCGTTTGCAATCAGGACGTTGTAATTATCACCAACCATTACGCGCAAACGACGATCAGCGGACAGAGCGGAGCAGTTGATGGGACAGCCGTATTGTGTATCCAGAACGAACTTCTCGGTGGCCACATCCATGACACGGAAGCCTTGGTCGTTGGACGCAAAGGCGGCCAGCGGTGAGGATGAGTTCCTGGAAGCATGGATCTGCAGATGGTTGGTTATGCCACTTACGTGGCTGGTGATTTGTCCTTCGGTGTACTTCTTATCCTGGCTGTAAATGTTTCGCATGCAGTACTCTCCGTTGAAAGTACCCGCAATCAAGATGCCGCAGTTGGCGTCCAAAGTTGAAATCTGGACGCCAATCATATCGTTGAGGTCCATGGCCACTTCACTCTCTCCCGATACGGGGTTGATCCGGTGAACGGCTCGCTGACCCGGATAGAAGGCATGGCTGCGCCCAGCACATGCTAGGATATTGCGCAGCTGGAAATGGGCCAAGTGAACGTTTTGACGGATGTCCATGCGACGAAACCTGAAGAAATCTTCGGTATTTCGTATAATCCTGTCTGGCAGATGGGGCTATGATGATCGTGTCAGCTACAGTTCTGGGTTCGTTTTGTTTCATGAGGCGACTTACCGCCCATATATCGGAATCTGTCCTGTTTGTGTAGTTCTTGTAGTCGAGGCACCTCCGCTCTCGAGCATTCTTGCGTGTCACCCCCAAGGCTTCCCAGTCGATGCCCTGCGCGTCGTATGCATCGCCCTCCAAATCCGAGTATCGCACGCGCGTGACATCCCGCGAGACCTGTGCATTGATTTGACGAATTCCAGGACTAGGTCCTCGGGACTGAAATCCGTTACGCCAGGCCCAGCCCTTGAGAAAATCGGTCAGACCAGGATTTTCCGGGCCGAGGGTGCTTGGATTGGGATTGCTGAGGGCCGGCGGACCTGCATTTTCCCATGCTATTTCGTCCTCGTTGGCAACCACTGTTTGAAATTGTTGGAGCTGCTCGGCTACAGGTGGATAGAAAACATCATCGTCGTCGTCGTCATCCATGGCTCCAGAATGGAGCATGGGATGGAAAGGAGTCGTATCAAGCGGGGTGGGATGATGGGCTCCTATCGGATCAAGAAATGCATGACCAGCTGCAATCGATACGTTCCAGTAGTTAATCATGTGAGCAGGCGGCCCCGTGGACGTGTGCTGCTCTTGTGGCGAATGTACGGGTTGCTCAAAGTGATGATTCCCTGAGAACGACTGAGGGGGGTCCATCTCGGCCTCGTTGTCGGGCATGGGAGACAGAAGGCTGGTGACTGTCATGACATGATCCAAGGGAGCACCTCCATCGCTGTCGCTCATGTCTAGGTCGTCATCCTCACCCTCCGCATCATCATCGTCGTCGTCGTCGTCATCCTCGTAGTCTTCGTAATCGTCGTAGTCGTCGTGTATAAACGAGCCAGGCTCGTGGTAGTAGGATGAGGGTATCACGGGGAACGTTTGGCTGTAAGAAGAGTATGCTGGTTGCCCATGTGTCGGAGGGTCGTGAGGCTGTTGTTGCTGCTGCTGGTTGGGTTCGCGGTGGAGGTGGTATTGTGATTGTTGGTCGGAGTAAGTATCGGCTGGAGGCGGGGCGGACCCGAGGGCTTGGTGATGGTTTGAGGAAACGGATGTCGCCTGGGCCTGAGAAGGCTGGGATGCCGTTTCTGAGGTTCTCGGTCGCATTGTGATCTCTTCAGGTGAATGCCGTAGCCAGTGAGGGCCGGTCGAAGGACATCGAGGGTTGCTGCACAAGGGAGAGAAACACCCGTGGTCGGGTCGGATAGATGCGTCCTCTTTTGTGGTTGCTGTTGCGGCTGCGAATGGAAGATGACGATTGTCTCCCTCCAAAGCCGACACCTCTGTGGACAAGACAGCAGTTGGTGTTGCCAGTCAGACGTCCGACTTATTGAGCAAGGCCCGTCTCTTGGGTCTTCTCCTTCCAGACCAAACACAATTAGTCCCAACGGGCGCCGACGCACAAAGGGTGTGCAACGTCTCTATTGAAGGCGGTAACAGTAGACAGCTGAGCTCGAGAAAGTGATGGCAGACGCCAGTGGGCAAGAGAAGCAGCGTGTGAGCGACGTGCAAAGATTCAGAGTGGTCGTTGCGGAGGTTGTCGGCGGTGGTATGAGGGAGCGATGTGGAAAGATGAGGGCGCTGACGGCAGCCGTTTGGTGCGGATGCTGGCTGGGAATGCGGTCAGGCGGAGAGGCGGCGAGATCGAGTCCACCTCAGCAGTGGTGTTGTAGCAGGGCGGGAGCGGGACTGGGACCCGAGCGGGATGTCTTTTGGCTGGGATTCCAATGGAAGCGACAAGGGAGGACAACTCCGACGGGCAGTGGGCAAGGCGCTCCTCAAGGTACTGCGTAAGGTAAGGTACCTTTACTGTAGGTATACGACTGTGTATGGGAGCGCCAGATGGGTGGTTGTTGGCGGCGCAGCGCTTTTGTTGATAGAAGCAGCCCGTAGCAAAGGAAAAGGATAATACCGGTAGACAATCCAAAATAAAACAAACAAGGCGCGCCAGCCAGATGGAACTGTGGAAGGCAGCATCTCACCTAAGGTATCTGGGTAGATACTTCCTCAGCCGGGCCCAGCACAGCAGTAACAGCAGCACCACCAGCACCACAAAGGTACGGTAAGGTAGGTACCGCTGCGAGTCCCGAGGCGGCGAGTTGGTTGAGTCGCAACTGAACCCCCTTGGGGTAGGCACCACGGCACCACCTTCCACGACGCTTACCTCAAGGCATGTCAAGTCTGGTACTTTCTCACCACGGAAAGATACCTTGTCTCACATGCATCATGCACCATACCAAAAGTACTCGCGGTTAAATCAAAGTCGATAATCCTTCGGCCTTTCATCCTCGGGGTGCTGTGACAGGGTCTGATCCCTCAGCTGGGCTGCTTTGCTACCGCCTTCGGATGCCAACTTTTACCTTCCAATCCATTAGCAAGCACAAGTTCAATTGCAGATGCTGCATGAGGAGAACCACCCACACACTTCACGGCCAAAACTTGGCACATTTACTGCGTACCTACATTTACGGAGTACAATGTGCGGACCTTCTCAGTCCCGACCATTCAGAGTACAAAATATGGCGGCTATTGTTCGCCAGATCCCATGTGGTTTGCTACCTCAATGGCTTCATTCCTGAGCCGAACTCCACGGAGCTGGAATTGAATTGTCAACAATAGCTTAGCCACAGCAGTCAAGTGGCATTCAAAGGAACCACAGGCGAGAGACACTGTAGTGTGATTGAACCAGGTTGCTGAAGCCCTTCGTACAAATAGAGGAGCAAAGGAGCAATGGCGAGCGATATCTCCACACACCGGTGCCGGGGGTGCACACCCACTCTCACCAGCCAACCTCGCAGGCTTGTCCTGCCGACGTGGACCCTAGGCCTAGTCCCAGTTCCAGTCTGGTCTTTTGGAGGTCAGTCGGCCTCGAGCTGTGCGGCATGTCTTCGCCTTCACCTCTTGCTTCTTTGTAAAATCACGAGGGAGCGAACCGCTGAGAAAAAGGGGGCGCTCGGTCTGGAAAGCGCCTAAGCATGAGCTGCCTCGCAGTGTGCGACGAGCGATGCTATGGGACGCCACCTCCCAATATCATATGCATGGCTGACTCTGACGGGAGAATGGTGTTCGTGTGTGCTAGGCTGGCTGGCACAAATGGGCTACTGGCTCGCTCCTTGGGAGTCGGGACTGCCTTGCACCTTTTGCTGCGAATACAGGCCGGACACGAATGACACGAAGGGAAGTACCGCTCTGCCGCTTTGGAGTCTGGACGGGAGCTCCCACCTGGCCAGCCAAAGCCTCACGCTCCCGTTCTGCCACCTGAGGTCGCACAAGAAGGGTGCCTTGCTGGCTTGCTTCCCAAAAGACTATCTTGCAAGAGGCAAGTCGCCGCAAGTAGAAGGCAGCGGGGGCGAGTGCTTTCAGTTTCATGCCGAATAGTACGGATATCCCACCCGATGAAGGCAAAGATGGAGATGCTCTTCTCTCGTTCCAGCTCCCCCCCCCCCCCCTCCACACACACACATCAACTCACTGCACATGTTTTGAGCCATTCTCCCTCGTGGGCCTCAAGGGCCTGCATAGTTGCATTGCTCCCTCAGCTTCGCGGCTTGCCTGACGTCACGGCCGAGGTGCCGTTGTGACGGGTCAGCAATGGCATCCAACGGCTTCGATTCAAACTGACTCTCACACTGCACTAGTTGGTCATGAGCAGACGCAAAGAAGCCACCCACATCGACAATGGCGTCCCGACTTCATTCTAGTGCGCGAATAAACCTTTGACCTGCCGCAAGCCTCCTCGACACCGCAGATCCTACCCCGAGATCCAATCAACCACCCGTCGCAATCCGATGGCCCATCTTTGCCATTTCGAAAATAATCTTAATCCCGCGCTTCTCGTGTTCAGCTTCTGAGCCTCCCTCCTCCGGCTTACCAGGCATCCTACCTAGGCCGCCATCTGGCCTTGCTCACCTCGTACGATCACCTCGGGTCAGTCATATTCGACGTTGACGAAATTCGCATCTTCCAAGCTGCCCGGAGGGCTCGCCCGGTCTCCAATATGTGCGATGTGATCTGTCACCCGGGGTTCGTCTCTGGCCCTTGGGGCTCGGGTCTGGGCATACCGGGATGTTAGCCCACTCATGTAAGTCGTTGAAATAGGAAAACGGCCAATTCACCGACTGCCACCTGGCAGCTACGGCAATGAGCAAAGATCTCGGTCCCTACGGAGTACAGTCTGCAACTTCTTGTCGGCGGTCGGTCTCCTGACTCCCCGCTCACTTCCACGTTCTTAGCTACAACCAGGTGTGCAGGGCATCGATGGGGTACTATAGAACTAACAGCTGGCGCTGCTCAGACTTCTCGTAAGTTGCAACGTTCTGAGTCGTCTAACCCCATCGACTGGACATGTTCTTTGCCCAGGCACACCTATAAAAGCTGACATAACTCTTGAATCCAGCATCCTACCCAACATCTGACCCGGCTGCGACCTCATCAGGATTCATCAAGCCGCATCGACCTACCGAAAGAGCCCGACTGCATCCGGATCCTCAATCTTCCCTGCCAGCCCGTCGACCATCGGAGCCCACCCCCAAGGGCCCCAGCCACGCGCGCGTGACAAGAGGACCGTTGGGGCATGATAAGTCACATTCGACAGCATGCGCTCCTCGAGTTTCAACCTCCCACTGCTAACCCATTTCCTCCATGACTCCGGTTCTCAGCTCCGCACTACGTTTCTTTTTCCAGCGCTCGACATTGCCCGTTGTCTCTGCCTGCCTGGTCCCTTGCCTGATGTGTACGTAGTAACTTGAGGGACAACACTGAGCAGGGGAGGGAGGGCGATTGCCGCTTCTCCCACATATTTGGTGCTTACATGCGAGCGCACAAGGCCTGTCAGCTCCAGTCAAATCGCTTTCGGTCAGCACGCAGGATATTCCAGCAAGTACGTGCGTGCGACTGACCGGGGCCGGAAGGTTTGGACAAATCAAGACCGCCAGAGAACAAGATCCTGTCGTTGCCGTTGGCCGAATATGTTGAAGACGCATTCTGTACCCGTATCCATATCCTCAAATGATGCACTTTGGCAACTGGAGGTCTGGAAACCTTGCCAATAACATGAATCGACATGGTCGCTTGTCTTGCCTACGAGCCGTTTCCTCGCCGATTTCATCTGACCATGTCGAAAGAGAACTTGAACTTGTCATCGGCTCGCACTCGTCTCTTGCCCTGGCCTCTGAGCTTCTCGAGTCTGAATAAGTCGAGTGGCGGGTATTCCGGACTGGGGGGAATTCAGAGCCAGGTCACACCTGGACAACAGACACAACAAGCTACCACCCAAACTCGTGGCCCTGCGCCTCGGGTAGAAGCATACAACCATCCCACAACCACACCGGATATGAGGTGGAAAAAGGAATATTCAACAGTGATGAAGTCTGAAAAGGGGGGGGGGGGGTTCCAGTCCTCCCAGTCCCTCCCGATCCCACCGGCGAAGCTTGGCGGGCCAAAGGCCGTGCGTAAAATCGTCAATCAACGAGCAAAATCCGCACCGTTGCCGCGAATAACGAACGCACCAAGGTACGACATTTGCAGAGAAGCGAACGAGAATGCGAGCGGCCAAGGAAAGAAAAGAGACATTCGCAGACTGTAAAATGCAAAGGGGCCACGAGGAAAACTGGGCAAGGACCAATGTCTCGGCTACCTGCAGCTATTGTGTCCTTCTCAATAAGCCTCTCTCTCTAGTCACCCTTCCATTCATTATGAAGCGTTGTTGCCCGCCACCCCCGTCCGAAGTCTGTGTGGTGTTTAGAACATCCCTTTCTTTCTCGGGGTTGATCATCATACCCTTTTCTCATTCCAGACTTCCAGTCCGTCCGTCCGTTCCCGTCCCCTTCTCCACAATCTCACCGGTTTACTGGGATTTCTCCCACACCTGGTCGTGCTGGTCCAACTAGCCATAATATCCGTCCCGCGTTTTTTTTTTATTCATTTCCAACCTCCCCCCTTAACCCCTGCCCATGCCGTGGCTTCCATGTGCGATGGGATGCGAAAAATGTGTTTAGTGAACATTGGTTGTTGCTCACGTTGGACGGTCGAAACGTAATCGTCCACACTGGTTCCCAGTCAACGGAATCAAGAGTCGGGGAGTTCATACAACTCGTCTGCATTACAGT